CGGGGCCGGCCCGGCCGGGCGGTAACGCGGCTCTTTCCTCCGCAGGAGTGTCGCATCGCCCACCCCATCGTGAAGTGCACCTACTGCCGCTCCGAGTTCCAGCAGGAGAGGTACGGCGGGGTCAGGCGGTGTGCGAGCGAGTTTGCGGGAGCTGGGCCTGTTGGGAGCAGGGAAGACCGAGAGGGCATCTCGTCAGTGCACACCGATATCTGAGAGGCGGGGGTCAGGAGGGTGGTGCCAGACACTTTTCAGTGCTGTCCGGCGACAGGACAGGGAGCAACGGCCATAAACTAAACCACAAGAAGTTTCATCTCAACACGACGTAGAACTTCTTTACACTAAGGGTGGCACAGCACTGGAACAGGCTGCCCGGGGAGGTCATGGAGTATCCCTCTCTGGAGACATTCAAAACCCACGAGGACACGTTCCTGTGTCACCTGCTCCAGGTGACCCTGCCTTGGCTGGGGGGTTGGACTGGATGATCTCCAGAGGTCCCTTCCAACCCGAACTATTCTATGATTCTGTCACTTCCAACCCAAACCTCTATGTGGTTCTGTTTGTTGGTAATTGCGTGGGAAAGAATGTTAAGGTTTGTGTGTTTGTTGCCAAATTCACCTTTGTGCCGTTTCATCTTTTCAGCAAAACCAACACAATATGCAAGAAATGTGCCCAAAATGTGAAGCAGTTTGGAACGGTAAGTCGGTTCTAAGTACTGAAGTTAATTCATTTGTGCTTTAAACTGAAAAAAAAAAAAGTTCTCATGCAACTAATCTTCTTATTTTCTTCTGGGAAAAAAAAATAAACCCAGAGATTGCCATTCAGAAAGGTGATGGAAATGTCATTTCTGTCTCTTGATTTCCTCTGTGGGTTACAGTTCCTTTTTTCAACTTGAAATCCATTGGGGTTATATGTAGCTTAAAGATTAGGAATAATTTCAATGTAGCTACTTGTAACAAAGCAAAGTTATTTCACCTCACACATGCGAAGTTCTTCCCTGTGTATTCTCATAAGCATATGCTTGATGACAGGGAGACCGTTAGCCCTCTCTGTCCTTAAGGGGATGTAAATGTGAAAATCGAGTAATGCTGCATACTTTATGTTGTGTAAGTCTTAAAAAAAGGCATGTTAATCGTGTTAAGCTATTAAGAAGAAAAGATTTTGAGTATTATCTGCATTCATGTTAATTTGTGGTTTCTCATGTTGAATTTCAGCTTCAGTTCTGCTGGAAAAATGAATTTTTCTGTTATGTGAATACACACATTGTATCTGAGCCACCCTGCAGATATGAGTTTGTAGGAGGTATCAAGATAATCTTGTTGTGGAACAAAAGGGCGTAATTTCTCCAGGCTTGACATAAACCATAATAGATGAAATTCAACTTATTTGAGAAATGTAACAGCTGTTGGTATGTAGTCAGGCACTTTGTGAATATATATGTAAACTAAACAAAGAAATACTTTTCGAAAGCTTAAAGTGTAGCAAAATGAATTGCAGGACAGATCCAACAATGATTTTATCAGTAGTTCGTCAAAAAACAGAACTGCATTGAGGATAATCAGCCATTTCTAACCTATGAAAACTGAGAGCAATTTCGTTTTCCAGCAGCATATTAGTCTAGTTGAGCATATGATATAAAAGTTGATAACCTGACCTGGTGGTATCTGAAGTTGGTTTTTGATTGTTGGTGGTGGTTTTTTGTTTTTTTTTGTTTTTTTTTTAAGTTTCCTGCAGAATTGCAGGGATCAGGATACTAATCTTGGAACTGTAGTGTTATTGAATCCCTGAGTGTGAAAGGGAGAGGGATGCCTTCAGAAACTTCCAGTCTAAAAAAATGACTTGATTACTCTTCTTTTAAAGATTCTGTAAGTAATTTCTCTAGGAATGTAGTAAAGCTGAGAGGAAATGTCATTGTATTTAAAAAAATAAAACAGCAGGTGTAGAGGTGAGTAATCAGATAGTTGCGTGTGTTTCTTTTATTTAGTATGCATGTGGATTTTCATGAAAAGTCCAGACTGGTTTTAACCACTGAAGAAGCATCATTTTAGGGGAAAGGTTTAGTACTGAAGATAGAAATGGTAGGAAAAAAGTTCTTTAAGATAGGTTATATGAAGCCTTAGTAGTTTCAAAGCATCATTTTGTGGTTTGAAATACCTGTCTTCATTACAGAAAATGCAAATATATTGATTTCAGTTCAACTTATCTTTTTTTCAGCCCAAGCCTTGTCAGTATTGTAACATTATTGCAGCATTTATTGGCACAAAATGTCAGCGTTGCACCAACTCGGAGAAGAAGTACGGCCCACCTCAGACATGTGAGCAGTGCAAACAGCAGTGTGCTTTTGATCGAAAAGAGGAGGGAAGAAGGAAGGTAGGCTTTGTTCCACATTTGTAGTGGCTTAGGCTGACAATAGACAGTGTTTCTGGTTCGTAAGAGAAAGACTAACAGGAATGTATTTAAGTTCTCTAATATTAGATTTAAGTTGCTGAGCTGTGCTTTACAATATTTAAATTAAATTTCGTAACTTGGCAATTGTTATGTGAGGTACTGAGCTAACTTACTTTAAATTAAATCACTTTCTAAAAATAGGCTTAAGTGTAAGCAGACAGTTGTAGCTGGGGAACAGAAATTAAGTGGCTGAACAGTTCCTGATGCTTTGATATTTATTTTATTTTTATTTTCCCAGCCATTGGATCTTATCTATGTCCATAACTTGAATCTGTCTCTTTACCTCTTCTGATTTGCTTGCCTTGCCTTAAAGTACAGCACCAGAGGCATAGACTGCTCTGAGTAGCCCTTTGTGTTCTGTTTTGTTAAATAGCTTTGGTGAGTGCCACTTTCTCATTCCAGAAGGTGCTGAGGAAATGACCTCAAAAGCCTCTTGACTGAACTCAAGGATAATACTGCTTTTACAGAAGAGTTTGCTTGGTACCTGTAAAACATTGGCTGGACATCTTGTTTCTGCCTACAGTACGATGGGTTGAGAGAAGGTGCATGGTGTCTAAACTAAAAAAGATTTGTCCTTTTAAAAAGTTACTGTCATTTCTGCAACATAGAGTAAGTCCAATATTTGCTAGGACTCTTTGTAGCATAACTTTAAATGACAAAAAGAAATGGGGTAAGATTCAGTAGAATCTTTACTGAAAGATAACTTGCAGGCACTGGAGGTATAGTAGTGATGTTTCATACCAAAAAGATGTCTGTGTTTTTCCCAAAGATAACAGATGAAACAATTTTTTCTTGCAAATACTGAGCACATCTCTCTAGTGCATGTGTACTTGGAA